CAGGTCAACTCCACTGACCCCTCTAAACAGAAGTCATCCTCTCTTCCCTGCTGTCTTCTCCGCACAGTTCATTTTATCCAACCAGAACCCGGACTGATATTTGCTTGTCCACCTCTGCTGCTGGTGGTGCAGAAAAGGACCTCGATTCATCTTTCTATTCCAAACACTTGGGACTCCGCATGAAACCTACAAGACACTTAATAAACGCCTGTTTAATGGAGCTCAAGATCAAGCTTAACATGCAAATGTAAGAGGCAGATTTTATGTGTGTTGGACTTATTTCTGCACCTCAAGTCCGAGCCAGGGACAGCCTTTTTTTTTTTCCATTCCTCTAAGGAGCAAAATTTATTCACACCCAGCACGTAGGTGCCACATCCCGTGCTAAATACTCTACACACATTATCTCAGTTAATCTGCACAATGTTCCTATGAAGTAGGTCCTATTACTAGCATTTGCCTCATTTATGGGTGAGGAAATTGAGTTTTAAAGAAGTTAAATAACTCATCCCAAGTTACCCAACTGGTCAGTGGTGGAGCCAGAACTCAAAGACAATAATCCCAGAACTTCAGAGCTAGAAGGGATCCCAAAATTATCTTCCTCTTAACCTCCTTGAACCTGAGGCTTATGACTTGCTGCCTGGCACAGAGTAGGCCCTCCAAAATGGTGATTGACTGATGGGTGCTCATTTTCTCAGATTCTGACCTTTGCCGGGAAGAAGCTGCCATCACAAACAGGCTACAGCCTTTCCTGGCCAGCACTGCCCGCAGGTGTGAATTGCTCCTCGAGTCCTCTGAATTATTCATGATCCACACCTGAGAAGTGTGCTTAACGAGAGATCTACAGTTCTCATTTTTCAAGACAAAGTGCCTGATTAACTGGTGTATTAGACAATATAATATAAGCTCATGGCTCAGGCCGATTCACACTGAGTCATATACCCATGCCCACTTTTTTGGATCTTGTCTTTCATGTAATTCCCCAGCTTCCCTGAGGGTTTAAAATCCTGGTAGCTGAGCAGGAAAGGGAACCATCACCAGCATTTCTACCCTCTCTGCAAAGCAATGGCCATCCTCGAAAGCTTGCACTGCACTGCTTCAAACCCACGTGTTCTTCCAAAGGCCGAGTTAGGGTATTTCAACAAGATTTCTTAAGCTACATCAAGACCTGGAAATTCAGATGCCACATCACCTGTAATTTACACCATCAGGAAATCACGTGAAACTACTGCCTTCTGGTCCTTTCTCCGGTCTTCTCTCCCTTAGCCACCGCTCCCTCATGAGTTGATTTTCCAAGTGGGAAGTTTTATGAGGGAAAACCATCTGCTAATCGTGAGCCAACATCACTGCATTTTAAATTCAATGTTAGTCAACCAAAATGAACTGAAAACCAGCAGCAGTGGTTTGGGGATACTAAAAATAAGCTGCAGCATTTGCTGAGTTCTCAGAATTAAAACCACAGGCGGTCAACTTGTTGCTGCTCTTAATAAGATACGACTGTTCTGTCCCATTGGCTGCTACTCCTAGGAGGAACTTGAACCATAGCATACGCCGGACAACACCGTGCTTTGGGCTAGTTGGCAGTGAATCAAGAAAGGAAGTGCCCTTTCCCTGGGACTAAACCTGCCAAAAAAGATAACAGATGGCTTTCAAGTGATCACCTCATGCCACCTCACTACTGCACCGCAGTCAAATTCACCTTGCATTTATGATTTAATTAGTCACACATCTATAGATACAGTTCCTTGGTGCCTGGCTTGCTATCGAATGCCTCCAACAAGGTGTTTCTTCCTTTGAATTTAATTCTGGGTAATAATAATAATAAAAACAGCTCACAATAGGAATTAATACAATATTAACACATCGAGCATTTCCATTAGGACTTCAAGACCTCCTTGAGCCCTGAATGCTGTATGCCACACCAAACGTCTTATCCCACATCCTTTGAAGGTTTGCCATTCAAGTCTGCAGGGACCAGAGAGGCAGAGGAATTCTACCTAAGGCATCACTGCGATCAGGAGCCTGTCATACTCAGCAACCAGGGGGGAGCTCCTACTGGCTCCTGCTCCTTCAGATTTATTAGCGATGGGTTTTTCTCTTCAATTAGACCCCGCTGGTCAACCATATAGAAAAGCGGAAAGAAGCCCTCCCTTTGCTCAGCTACACTTGGGGAAAGAAAAAAAAAATAAAAATGTATGCCTGGAAAGTAAAATTACAGAGCGTATTCCAAGAGGCCACACGGGGAAAATCAATCTCAATCTCTCTCTCCCCCTTTCTCTCTCTCACACACACAGACACACTCACACACGCGCACACACACGCACATACACACTCACGCGCACTCACACTCACTCACACACTCACTCACACGCTCTTGAATAACTAGGCAGATTGTCAGAGGCTGGGCTCTACCTCCAGTTCCCCAACTCGCTCCCACCCCGGCCGGAGGACACCACCCCTCACCACCTCCACCGCGAGCCCGTGCCCCCCAAGCGCGCGTCTCCACGGAGCTCATTTCTGAAACAAACAAAGAAAACCAAGTCTGCGCG